GGGCTCTTTGGGGGACCTGATCCCTATCCGAACATCGGGGGTGGGTTGCTCGATCTACTCTTACACATGCTCACAATAAGGGCAAAACCACTGTAGGAAACTGTAGATTCCGTACAGTTACAGTGCTTTAGAGCACGGAGAACTACAATGAGGGTGGTAGGTCTCGCAGCCATCACATCTTATGCCGTCCTGGACACAACGTTTGCAACCCTCTCCCCCAAAGGGGAGCCCGCCTACTGGAACAGATCCTTCATCATCGGCAATGCCTTGTTTTTGCGTTCTACCAGAGCTTTTCTTGTCATATTGTGAACACAAGTGCCAAAAGGGGGAATCAAGAGATAAGCGAGTGAAATTTAACGGCTGAGGTAGTCAGTCGATATGGTATTCGCCAAAACAGTGAATGGTGTACCAGAAAATAGTTAGCCCACCGATAGTTTCGATACAGTCAACTACAAATCCCTTCAATGTAACCCCGCCATGAGATCGTTTGAGTCGTGACTCCCCAATGCAGAATTGCAACTCCGGGCAGAAATATCTTCACATACTGCGTCTTCCTTTATTTGGGTTCCATTAATTGCAGATTCCGCGCTATCGTTTAGTTTATTTTGAGTCTAAGTTGATGCCTCCTCGTGCCCCTGACAGGTACAAACCAGAATAGGTCTTCAAACTCTAGACCCCAAAGCCCTTTGACAATCTTAAATGTCTCTGTACGGTTGCTCGCAGTCATCTGCGGGTCAGGGAGAACAGACCTGGGTCCTTCAGTCGGTGGAGGTATCCCCCTTATCTTTCTGGTCTGCACCATTCTGATTGCTAAACGCTATACTTTCTCAAGACACTGGCCATCTTGTTTAAAGTACGGTACCTATGCTTGTACGCGATGTTCTAGATGAGAACGCATAATAGTTTTGTGCAAAGATACGAAAACCTCGGGTCTCCTGCAACTTAGAACAGCGCATAACCTGAAAAATTCGTGTCGAGGTTTGTTAGCCGCACGCTTGCACTATGGGAATGGTCTGAAGTCATTTGCAATCATTAGGTCAGGCCAGGTCAGGTGTCACAGGAAGGAAAAGGCTTTCGCCAACCAAGCATTCAGATCCTTGCTCCGGTGGGAAAGTTTTTTCACTCAAAGCTTCAAACTCGTTTCAATCGCTGTCTCGCAAGTGTTTTCCGGAAGGAAACTGGTTCAAGTACAATACCTGTAAGGAAGATTAGTCGGGTAAACAAGAAGAATGTCAACTATAAACAATCTCAGATTTCCCTGTTACTACCTCTTGGTATAGTTGGGTCCAAACCATGTCTAACTGCCTCTTGAAATTGACTATATTTGCACATTCTATCAGGTACAGGGGTTGCTGGTTCCATTTATCAACTACTCGGTTTGTGTAGAAGTTAAACGGCACGTCGAGGCAAGCCCTTGGTTTGAAGAGCTTTTTCCTGTGTCCCCTGGTGACCTCTATGGGCGTTCGAATGAACAAACTTTCGGCGCAGTAAATCCTTTCATTATCTTGAATATTTCTATGAGATCACCTCTAAGACGTCTTCTTTCCATAAAATAGAGGTCCAACGCTTCAAGCCTTTCCTCCTATGACTTGCCCTTCATGCTCGAGACCATCCAAGTGACTAACCTTTTAAGCTTCTCAATGCACTGCATGCGTTTCTGAAGGTAGGGTGCCCAGGCCTGGACACAGTATTCTAGGTGGGGTCTAACCAGCGCCTTCTACAGGGGGATAAAGACTTCTGCCTTTCGAGCGGTCATTGTATTTCTCAACGTGAATAGTTGACCTCTCACCCCTTGTGCTGCAGCTTTGCACTGTTCGCCTGGCTTGTAATTCTCGGAGACTACTATTCCTAAGTCCTTCATTTGGGCTGCGCGCGTTAGTTGGGTAGTTTCCGCCTTTGTGCTTACTCTAATTGAACTGCCGCCAGTATTCAATATTTGAAACTTTATCGGGTTTAGGTCTAGGTCCCACATCCGAGTGCAACAGGTAACCTGTGTTAGTTCCTCCTGTAGTTGCTCTCGCGGGCCGGCAAAAACTAAAGTCGGGATGGACAAAGCGTATATAAATCTTCGACGTACAGCAGGAAACGAATGGGCCCTAAGACGGAGCCCTGTGGCTTCCCACTGGTGACTTTGCCCTCCGTCGATAATGCCTCCCCTACCCGAACTCTGATGGTCCGCCTGATCAGAAACGCCCCTATTCATTTGTTAAGAGTCCCAGGAAGGCAAAATTTCTCGAGTCTTTCAGAAAGTATTCGGAGATTGACCGAGTTGAAAGCCCTTCTAAGGTCCAAGTACCAAACTTGGACTTTTTGGCCCTCGTCCAATTTCTATGTGACTTCATCTTGGAAGCAAAACATGTTGCTAAGGCATAACCTCTTTTTGAGGAAACCATGCTGGCTTTCGGATAGTTAGTTGTAGCACGCAACATGCTCACCTTTACCGGTTCTAACTATTATCTCAAGACCTTTACAGAGGATACTAATGAGACTAACCGGTCTGTAGTTTCCTGGTGCCTTTCGGTCACCTCCTTTGTGAATCACCACAACAGTCACTGTCTTTCAGTCTTCGGTATCTCACCGAGTCTTAGGAATTTCTCGTATATTGCACTCACGGGAGCCGCCGAAACCGCTACGAGCGGCTTGTTGATGGCCGGATGAAGTCCATTGCTCCTCGTTGATTTCCCAGGTTTTAACTCACTGGGTGTCGTCATAACTTGAGCTCTGTCTATCTGTAGATCGCTCACTGGAGGAGCTCGTACCTGTGTCAAATGTGAGCGGTAGCTGCGCCCATCATCCATTTATAGACGCCTACAAAAACATTTCTTGAGTATCCCGCCTCGGAGGATACTTTTTCTCTTGCGTTGTTTCGTGGGACCCCAACCGAACGCCATAAGGCCAGCTTTGATTTTACATACGCGTAAAAGCTTTTGGAATTGGTTTTACCTTGCTGAGCGATTCTCCACTCATGTTCCATTTCATCTTCTTTTGTAAGCTTGTTTGCGTAATGTGAATCATTTTTTAGGCCTACCACCTGCGCTGCCCTCAGAATTTTGTATAATCCCTCCATTTACGCCCCCTGAAGGTTATTACCCTCTTTATGGGAGTTTACCACCATACTTGTTATGAGAAAACCTACACCAGGTTTGTCACCCATAGTTCTCAATATTTCTGGTCTCTTCTTTCATCCCTACCCGTCATCCACCTCTCCGTGGCACATACTGACCATGCAGCACTGATCACTTTTCAACCCATTTCTAAACAGTACGCTGGTCGAGCTTCAAAGTTTGATCAGTGGAACAACGCTTGTCATGTGGAAATCAGCATAAGGCGTTACCCGTAACCCCTAATTATCTCGGTCCGTAGATTTAGCTCCACTCGTCTGATCCAATTTATGTCTGTGGCACTTTCCGACCAGGAAGCTGTGGCCACCTTTCAGTCATTTTTAATCAGTACACTGGTCCAGCTTTAAAGCATGATCAGTGAAACGAACTTTTGCGGGTGGAAAACAACATAACAGCAATGATGCAGTAGGTGAGCTTATCTTGGTGCACTGTTCGAATTTCAGCACTGAATTAGTGCTAAACATTTCTCTTATCCGAATAATCGCACAACGTTTGTCCTCAATAATTTCTCCAATTTCTTGTTTGCTCATCTATGTTGATCACTTCGAGCTATCTCTTTCCTGCTACACAGTCTGACGTGGCATTAATGTCCACCTATCAACTCCTCCCTAATCGCTTCACTCGTCGGGCGTCTAAGCTAGATTTGTGGAACACAAACCTTTCAGGAAAAACCTACATTAGACTTGTAATCCTCAATTCTTGACATCACACTTTCTTCCTGTGATTCGCCTCATCTATTTGATCTGCGTTTATTTTTGTATGCGCACTTTCTTTTTAAACATATATATATATATTCATATATAAACTCTCGAGCACTTACGCGCTCCGCATATGCTCTCGCAACACGCTGTTCCCCTTTTCCATTCTCAGCTGGGTATTACTCCAGATTGCCGAGTTTTGCTCTTTTTATTTCATATTCGGTTGGATTGAGTCTGCCGAAGCCGTGCATTTTCGTGCGCCGATTGGCATTGCTGTCTTCGGATGCCCCATTTGGATAAAAGAGAAGAAC